CCTCTCTTTCTGATTTGAAATGCATTTTTATAGAAAAATATTTTGTAGCGTATAGGCCAAGTGTTTGTAGCCAGCCTCTGGATTTATTAATTCGTTTCATGCCTTCATTGTTTTAATTAATTCCAGCTAAGCTAGGATACTGAAACTATTTAATCAATTAGACCATGATGACCATTTTTTTAGGCAGGGATTACGTAAAATTTAAAATCCTCCAACATTAAGTTTACCATCAGCTAGAAAAGTGGATTAGGAAAAAATGATCAGACCTTGTTACTTCGCTTCAATTCCTAAAGTCTTGCCGTCCTCGGTAAGACGATAAACTACGTCCAGCAGCAAAGCCTCTGATCAGGAGGTTTTGAGAAGCGTGGAGCCACATCTTAATTGCTGGTGCTCCCAGGTCCACCCTGACCCGGAGTGGTAGCACCTGTTAGGGTCCCAGCTATGGGCAAATAATGAACACCCAAAATTGTGTAAAAATAAGTTTTAATACCAGAAATATTTTGTAATAAAAAAAAAAAAATTATTTCCAGCAATAATTTTTGAAGGAAAAATTATTATGAGCAATACTTAAAAACAAAAAAAAAAATAATAAAAAAATAAAAAAACCAGCAGTACAATCAGTTATACATTCTTTGAAAAAAACATTACCTGCAATAAAAATTCTGTCAGCATTAAATAACTCATTGAGGTTGCCGTAAAACAAACCAGACCAAACCAAACCTAAAGTCTTGGTACCATAGCGAAAAGGTAATTTTAACAATTACCATTAAAGTATTTATAGAAAAGGCACAGGCAAGTTACATTACAGCAGTGGTAAAGTGATTGAAGCCAGGGTGCCAGGCTAGGACCATTAATATTGCAGATTCTTCTTTGGCTCTAACCAAGAATCGGTAAATACACATCAGGAAAACCGGACCATATGTAACAAAATATGAACAAATGATAGATTCATAAATAAATAAAAATAATAATTATTGTTATATTTCCCAAATATGTTTCGGTTGTAAATAGTTTACAAAAGGTTGATAACTAAAAAACAAATCAATTAATCAGTCAATCTTTTTTTTTCTTTATTCCTCTTCTTTTTTTCTTTCCTTTCTTCCTTTCTAAATGAATAAATAGCGGACACAAAGCAGTGATGGTACCCGAAGGTACCATATGTCATGCCATCTGCGGGTATCTATTCTACCGGCACACTTATACCCCCTACGCTTACTATCTTCCTCAGTTACTTGGTGAACAATATACCACACTAGCAGGAAGGGTGGCGGGTAGGATGACGGGTGGAGAGAAAGAGAGAGTGATAGAGAGGGAGGTGTCAACGAAATTAGAATACAGAGGTATTTTGATACTGAAATCACTAGCTCGATCCAGCAACTCCACCTACCTGTTCATGAGCGCCTCCACGATCCCCAGGCATCAAGACCTTCACCTTCACTTGGGAATAGTGGCATTTTCTTGACAGACCCAGCTATTGTTTTTGTCAGGGAGTGAGGAGAAAATTCTTCAACGCGAAATAATATACGCTACGTGTCCATATGTTAATCGACATTTCCTATTGTGTTAACGTCTGTTATCGACCCGGCATATGCAGCACATCTCGTTTTTTGCATCGTGTGCCCTTCAGGATGTGAACGATCATAGCTCTCCACAACGTCCTATCCGTTTTAGTTCTTAATAGGTTTTCTTTTCACTATTCCTCCATCTCTTTGCACTTCGATCCATTTGCACAAACTGTTTAAATATTTTATTCACTGTTTCCTCTGTCGATTCAATATTTCCTTTGAGTGTCGAATTCTCCAAATCGTCTTTCCTCATTAGTTCTTTTTCTGAGTTCAAGTATCAGTGTTCTTTGCGTTTATGATATTCTTAAAAGTTCCTTGTTACAGACAGATCCATTCCATGGGACACTCAGCAACCTTCTGCAGAATGACATATCTGTTACTTCAAGTTTCTTTTTCATTAGTTCTGGGTATGATGATAAACTACATCTGGCAGCAAAGCTTCTGATCGGGAGACTGGAGGTTTTGAGGAACGACTCATTAATTGCTTTTCTTCCCATGTCTACCCTGACCCGGGGTGGTAGCACCTGTTAGGGTCCCAACTATGGGCAATAGTGAAACCCCAACAAAAACAAAAGACTATGAAAAAATTAAAAACAATACATTTTTATAGCAAACTGACCAATACATTTTATCTGTAGTTGAAGACATACAACTGCGTTCAAAATATATTTAGTTGAAGCCATAAAATTGTGTTCAAAATATTTATATTTCCGAATTAGATAATCCCTACATTTTGATGTACTACTACACAAAATCAACCACCCAACAATACATATTTACAGTAAAATTACCAACAATAGATATTAAAACAAAATTACCTACAATACATTTTATCTGTGGTTGAAGGCATACAATTGCGTTCAAAATATATTAATTTGAAGCCATAAAATTGTATTCAAAATATTTAGATTTCAGCATTAAATAACTCATAGAGATGCTGCTAAACAAAATCAACCAACCAATTCCCGGGCCAAAAAAATTAAATTGTAAAAGCAGAATAACATATATCATATTTTATTATTTCAAAACACCCAAGAAAATTAAATTTCGTCTTTCACTAACTTATAAAGAGTTTATATGCCGCCAAAAAAAAATAATGGAAATTCTGAAACATTAGTTTCTTAGTAAGATAAAACCTTTGCAAAAAAAGATTTCAGACCGTGAGTGAGATTAAGAAGAACGTGATATGACAGCTGATGGTAATACAGAAAGGAGATTTGCAGACTGTTCTGAAAAGGGAAAAACTACACTGGGAAATGTGTTAGAGGTCTAAAGGGGGGATACTTTGAAATAGACCAAGGCGTCATTACTCTAGATCAGGAAATTGATGACTTGCAGTTAGAAAGAGACGGATGCCATCTGCGGGTATCTATTCTACCGGCACACTTATACCCCCTACGCTTACCATCTCCCTCGGTTACTTGGTGAACAATATACCACACTAGCAGGAAGGATGGCGGGTAAGATGACGGGTGGTTTTCTGGGACACATAATGTAGAAAGAGAGGGTGGGGAATTAAACATTCACATGATATACGAAAGACAAGAAAAAGGGGAGGGAACAAGAAGCTACAGCGAAAGAAATCAAACCAATCAAAATATTTAATTAACCCATAGAGCTTAATATGCCGCCAAATAAAATCAACCAAGCAACTTTTTTCATTTGTGAGGAGATTGTCCAACATCCATTGTCAGATAGAAAGATGATACTATATAGCAGTTCATCACTCTTTTCTTCGTTTTTAACTAAATTTTCCTGGTTTTTTTTTTTTAATAATTAGCTTTTGGACGCCATTATTATCCAATAGCCCTTCGGATTTCAGTGTCACATATTCCTCCTTCTGCTTTCCTAAATATTTGTATTTTTGCATCGATTGGTTTCGAAATCTCTCATTCGTATTCGAGGGAGTCACAGTAGATTAATGTATAGCGACTCGGATTGAGAAATCGGAGAGTCGAGTTCGAATTCTAGTCGAATCAATTACATTCACTTACGTGTTGATATACTTGTTAAATGTATGAATCCTCTTCTTCTCCCCACAGCTATGGGTAAATAGTAGGACAGACCAGGTTCAAAAGCCTTGGATGGCAACTGGTCTACCGTAGAAAGAAATGGCAATCTACTGCGGGAAAAAAATCTGCCTCGTCAGTTATGTATCGAAAAATAGATGATTGCCTAAGCGTGTATCTCGCATGGCACATAACTGAATTCGTATTTCGCAACTTATGATTTTTCTCTTGCTGAAAGACATACATTTCTTATTTTCCTTTACTTTTTATTTACTGATAATTCCTCCAATATAAGGCACAAGGGCAACTCAAAGTAGAGGGTTGTTGATTAATTATAGTTTGGTTTGTTTTACGGCATATCAACCTCAATGGGTTATTTAATGCCGACAAGATTTTTATTTCTGGTAATATTTTTTCCTTCAAAAATTTATTGCTGGTAATATTTTTTTACTACAAATATTCATTGCTGGTAATATTTTTACAAAAATGTATTCTGGTATTAAAACCTATTTTTACACTTTCATAGTGTTTTGATCCCAGTTTGGGGGTTGACTATTTGCCCATAGATGGGACCCTAACAGGTGCTACCACTCCGAGTTAGGTTGGACTTGAGAACACCAGCAATGAAGAGGTGGTTCCACGCCCATCAAAATCTCCTGATCAGAGGCCTTGCTGTTGGACGTAGTTTATCGTCATACCCAGGACACGGACGTAGTTTATCGTCATACCCAGGACGCCAAATTTATTGGTAAGATTGTGGTCACCAATAATGAATCCTGGTAGGAATTCTTATTCTCTTTATATGAGTTTATTCTTAAGCTTACTCACTGAGTTCATCTGGCTCTCTTGCCTTTAAAATGTCCTGTGAGTGTCAAATTCTCCAAGCTATCTTTCGTTGTTATATGTTATAGAAATTTCTACTGTCACTTCCTTATGTTACGTATAGGCATCCCTTTTCCCGTTTTCTCTATAAAACTTCATCATTGGTCACATGTTCGGGTCATGGTATTCACAGCATCCTTTTGTAGAAATACGTTTCTGTTGCCTCAAGTTTCTTCTTCCTTTGTGATGAGATTATCTAGCATTCATTTTTAGATAGGAAGACCAAAATTACATTACAGTTCACTAGTCTTTTCTTTGTTTCTAACAAGATTTTCCTATTTCTTAATGCTTTGCTTAAACTTTGGAAGGCACTTTCGCTTATCGGTGTCACACTTTTCAGCCTCTATTAAATTTTCTGTTTCACGAAGCATTACGGATCAATAATAAAATGTTTCAGGTTGTGACGCATGGTCGAAACTCTAGCTCTCTTTTATGAAGTCTAAGCAGCCAGGCCGGTGATATGTTCTACGAATTTCGAGGTACTATGTGGGCTATTCTGTTCTGCTTACTGCTGCGGGCTATTCTGTTCTGCCTACTGCTGTAGGCTATTCTCTTCTCCCTACTGCTGTGGACTATTCTGTTCTCCTTACTGCTGCGGGCTATTCTATTCTCCCTACTGCTGTGGGCTATTCTATTCTCCCTACTGCTGTGGGCTATTCTATTCTCCTTACTGCTGCGGGCTATTTTATTCTCCCTACTGTTGTGGGCTATTCTATTCTCCCTACTGTTGTGGGCTATTCTATTCTCCCTACTGTTGTGGGCTATTCTATTCTCCTTACTGCTGCGGGCTATTCTATTCTCCCTACTGTTGCGGGCTATTCTATTCTCCCCTACTGTTGTGGGCTATTCTATTCTCCCCTACTGTTGTGGGCTATTCTATTCTCCTTACTGCTGCGGGCTATTCTATTCTCCCTACTGTTGTGGGCTATTCTATTCTCCCTACTGTTGTGGGCTATTCTATTCTCCCTACTGTTGTGGGCTATTCTATTCTCCCTACTGTTGTGGGCTATTCTATTCTCCTTACTGCTGCGGGCTATTCTATTCTCCTTACTGCTGCGGGCTATTCTATTCTCCCTACTGTTGTGGGCTATTCTATTCTCCCTACTGCTGTGGGCTATTCTATTCTCCCTACTCCCTCTGGGCTATACTATTCTCCCTACTGCTGTGGGCTATTCTATTCTCCCTACTCCCTCTGGGCGATACTGTTCTCCCTACTGTTGTGGGCTATTCTGTTCTCCCTACTGCTGTGGGCTATTCTATTCTCCCTACTCCCTCTGGGCGATACTGTTCTCTCTACTGCTGTGGGCCAATCTATTCTCCTTACTGTTGTGGGCTATTCTGTTCTCCCTACTGCTGTGGGCATTCAGATGGAAGTCAGAAAAGTGTCTTTCAGATGATTAATAGAGAGCAGTACAGCTTTGGAGGCATTAAAATTAACAAGCTATTATTTGCCTCAGTTAACAACAGACTGAAGACATCGGCCAATTTCTTAGGGGACATAGACTTAGTTTCGAGACAAAAGTAAATGGTTCTTATCAAATATGTGCTTGTAGCGCAGTTGTTAGCTCGAAATTTGGAGTTGCATTAGGGTGTCGAATTCAAATTCCAACCGAGGTCTTCATTCGCTTTCGCATAAATACCATGGGAAAAAAGGCATGAATCCATCTCTTCCTTGCACCAACTTCTTTTCTTCTTTTTATGTACCGTGTCCTTTTAGTGCGTAGGCGATTATGGTTCTCCACTTTTCCCTATCCTTTGTACCTCTCAATAAGTTTCGTTCCTCTGTCAAATTCCCCAGACCACGTCCTCTTATCCATTTGTCATGCGTTGCTTTCCCTGGTCTCTATTCGACCTGTGAGTATCAAATTCTCCAGGCCCTCCTTTCTCAGTGCGTGTCCTTCTTCCCGAGGGTAAGTATAAGCCTACTCCTCGTTTGCATACTCGCTAAGACCTCACACGCTCGGTCCATGATATCGTCAGCATCCTTCTGTCCAACATAGCTAAAGAACCCGGTCTATCCTGCTCTTGGGGTGGGGGGGCGGTAGAAGAGGAGCATTAATACCTTTCCCAAGTAAGCAATGTAATGGATTTGACTGGAATTCGAACTCGGCTCTCCGCTTCCTAAATCCGAGCAGCTATCCATTATTCCACCGTGCCTCCTAAAGAGATCTTTTACAGGGTTAATATCATAGCCGACTGCTTTGTCATGTTTTCGTTGGCAACCCTCTTGGAGTAGGACGACTCAGGATGCAACCACGTTTAGGCGTTGGATTAGACAATCCACCCCACGGGGAAAATCTATTTGCAACAAAACCACAGAAACAACAACGTAATGGGGCCGTCGCCCTATGGCCACAAGGTTTCTGCAGTTAACATGCCTACAATTGTCTTATAGGTATCTGATATATACCTATTCCTGTTCATCAAAATATCAAATCGTTAGTTCTTCCTGAATACAACAACAATATCTGATAGAGGAATTGATGCGCGAATGGAATGAGATAAGCTTTAACCCGAGCCTTTAATTTCTAGGTCACGTCCCCTAGGACTGTCGGGTAATAGGATTTTGGAGCCTGAAGTGGAGACCCTTTCCTAATCAGTTTGGTGTTGAAATCAATTCTGTGCATGGAAATTAAATAATTTCAGTAGAGAATGTAAATTGGTTGGTTCTTTAGAACTTGTATCCTTATCTTGGTTGATTTTAGAAAAACAAAAAAAACATTTCAGCAGCTGTCCTCTCCAATATTCGTTAAAAATCAGGGAATATTGAACAGAATTCTTATTGTATCTATCTATCTATCTATCTATCTATCTATCTATCTCAGTCTGTCATTATCTATCTATCATCTATCTATCATATCTTTCTATCTATCTATCTATCTATCTATCTATCTATCTATCATTTCTTTCTCAGTCTGTTCTATCTATCTATCTATCTATCTATCTCAGTCTGTTCGTATCTATCTGTCTATCTATCTATCTATCTATCTATCTATCTCAGTCTTCATTATCTATCTATCAGTCAGTCATTTCTTTTCGACTATCTATCTATCTATCTATCTATCTATCTATTCGTATCTATCATCTATCTATCTATCTATCTCAGTCTTCATTATCTATCTATCAGTCAGTCATTTCTTTTCGGACTATCTATCTATCTATCTATCTATCTATCTATCTATCTATCTATCTCTATCTCATCTTCATTATCTATCTATTTCACCATCTATCTCTATCTATCTATCTCAGTCTGTTCGTATCTATCTATCTATCTATCTCAGTCTTCATTATCTATCTATCAGTCAGTCATTTTTCTTTTCGGACTATCTATCTATCTATCTATCTATCTATCATATCTATCTATCTATCTATCTATCTCTTCATTATCTATCTATCAGTCAGTCATTTCTTTTCGGACTATCTATCCATCGATCTATCTATCTATCTATCTCAGTCTTCATTATCTATCTATCAGTCAGTCATTTTCTTTTCGGACTATCTATTCATCTATCTATCTATCTATCTATCTATCTATCTATCTATCTCATCTCTTCTATCTAGTCTTCATTATCTATCATCAGTCAGTCATTTCTTTTCGGACTATCTATCTATCTATCTATCTATCTATCTATCTATCTATCTATCTCAGTCTTCATTATCTATCTATCAGTCAGTCATTTCTTTTCGGACTATCTATCTATCTATCTATCTATCTATCTATCTATCTATCTATCTATCTATCTCAGTCTTCATTATCTATCTATCAGTCAGTCATTTCTTTTCGGACTATCTATCTATCTATCTATCTATCTATCTATCTATCTCAGTCTTCATTATCTATCTATCTCAGTCTTCATTATCTATCTATCAGTCAGTCATTTCTTTTCGGACTATCTATCTATCTATCTATCTATCTATCATCTATCTCATCTATCTATCTATCTATCTCTTCATTATCTATCTATCAGTCAGTCATTTCTTTTTCGGACTATCTATCTATCTATCTATCTATCTCAGTCTTCATTATCTATCTATCAGTCAGTCATTTCTTTTCGGACTATCTATCTATCTATCTATCTATCTATCTATCTATCTATCTATCTATCTATCTATCTCAGTCTTCATTATCTATCTATCAGTCAGTCATTTCTTTTCGGACTATCTATCTATCTATCTATCTATCTATCTATCAGTCTTCATTATCTATCTATCAGTCAGTCATTTCTTTTCGGACTATCTATCTATCTATCTATCTATCTCAGTCTTCATTATCTATCTATCAGTCATCATTTCTTTCGGACCATTCATCTATCTATCTATCTATCTATCTATCTATCTATCTATCTATCTATCTATCTATCTCATCTATCTCTCAGTCTTCATTATCTATCTATCAGTCAGTCATTTCTTTCGGACTATCTATCTATCTATCTCAGTCTTCATTATCTATCTATCAGTCAGTCATCTCTTTTCGGACATCTATCTCTATCTATCTATCAGTCTGTCTATCTCATTCATCTATCTATCTCAGTTCTTTTCGGACTATCTATCTATCCATCTATCTATCTATCTCAGTCTTCATTATCTATCTATCAGTCATCATTTCTTTTCGGACTCCATCTATCTATCTATCTATCTATCTATCTATCTATCTATCTATCTATCTATATCCATCTATCTATCTCAGTCTGTTCGCATCTCTATCTATCTATCTCAGTCTGTTGCATCTATCTATCTATCTATCTCAGTCTGTTCGTATCTATCTAGTCTGTCTATCTATCTCTATCTATCTCATCTGTCGCATTCATCTATCTATCTATCTATCTCAGTCTGTTCTCATCTCTGTCTGCATTCATTCATCTATCTATCTCAGTCTGTTCGCATCTATCTATCTATCTATCTATCTATCAGTCTGTTCGCATCTATCTATCTCTATCTATCTATCTCAGTCTGTCGTATCTATCTATCTATCTATCTATCTGTCTGCATCTATCTATCTATCTATCTCATCTGTTCCTATCATCTATCTATCTATCTCAGTCTGTTCCTATCTATCTATCTATCTATCTCAGTCTGTTCGTATCATTCTATCTATCTATCTATCTCAGTCTGTTCCTATCTATCTATCATCTATCTATCTATCTATCTATCTCAGTCTGTTCCTATCTATCTATCTATCTATCTATCTATCTATCTTAGTTTTCTCATATATTTTTCTATCTCTCTGTCAATGTAGCTGATTCTTTTCATATCTATCCGGGTGCTCATTCGCTAATGTATTTCCTTTTCTTTCTCACACTCGTACGCACACGCTAAGTTGTTTATAGCAATGTTTGGAAGGAAAGTGTGTTGACTGTGGTCGTCTCAGGACACCACAGGGGTTCCATCAGTGAACATGGCTTGCTTCGGAGTTTTTGGTCATGAACAACATTCCCGTTATACAACAGCTACCATATTCCCCAGATCACGCCCGTTTGTGAATTTTTCCTGTTCAAAAATCAACTCCCAATTGAATAAAATTTCAAGATGACGAGGAAATCAAAGAGAATGCGTTCCCTAAATGCTTCTCTCAATGGAAACGACCCTGGATAAAGTTTGTGGCTTCAAAATGGAACTATTCCGAAGGACATCAAATGCCGACTCATATATATTTTAGTTTTTTTTTATAGCATCAGTCCCGATACTTTTTGATCAAACCACTTATATATATTGTTGTAACCTAGAGAAGGCTACTGAATAGAATATTCAGCCGAGGGTTGGTAATGAAAGATAATACTTAGAACAAGAACAACATATATAAGATTCGCCAGCGGGGCGTAGAAGAAGTAGTCAACTGTTAGAAGTGAATCAAGTGAATTCTACAATAAATCTCCAAGACTCGACCACGCACAGTATTCACTACTGTATTTATGGGAATGGGGGCATACCATTATCTTCTGTAGGTATATATATATATATATATATATATATATATATAAATGTAAAAGAACGAAGAGTAAGATTTCAGCGTTCAAAACATTAATTTAAAACAGGGCTCAATACAAAAGTTGAGCCGTAAATATTTATGTATTATGCAGTGTTACATTAGAAAATGCACATACCCACTACAAAACTGTACATCTTGTTTCAAAGTTAATTTTTTTAACGTTTCATCATGTGGGAATTCCCGATGTTACTAAAATATTTTATTCCGAAACATTCGGAATAAAATATTTTAGTAGCATCGTGATTCCTACATGATGAAATGTTAAAGAAAATAACGTTGAAACAAGATGTACAGTTTTGTAGTGGGTATGTGCATTTTCTAATCTAACACTGCATAATATATATATATATATATATATATATATATATATATATATATATATATATGAGGAACTTGAAAGAGAAAATAGGGATGAATATGAGAACGTCGTATGTCTATGTGCGAATGAATATTCATTCAAAGATTAGTCAGAGTCGTGCTCCAAGGCATTTGATAATAAGAATCACGAACAGATATCGAACTGATCATATCATTAAAGGGCGGTAACTCTGTCGCTGTCGTATCAATGAATAAGTTCCAGCGGTGAAAATTCAGTTCATTATATTTAGCCATAGCCATGATAATCGAAGTTGTGCGCCCTCTAGCGCCAATTTCAGATGACAAGAAATTAGTTTTGCAGTCGACCATTGCAAGAAGGAAATTGAATACCAGAAAATAGCAACACACACACACACACACACACACACACACATATATATATATATATAAAGAAATATAGTCTTAAGGTGTGCTATATTTATGGGATAAAGTGCTCAATATCAGAGATAGAGCGTGTGAATATAAAAGTAAACATAGAAGTCAACACTTAGAGGCGACAGTCTGTTTCATGCTATATGCAATCGTCAGGCCACGTGTGCTGTTATTTTTCTCGGCTATTTATATATATACGGGTTAATGGTGCATTGTGGGTATTCTATTATGGCGGTTATTTTACCGGAAGTCGCTTTGTTCATTTATTTGGGTCAAGTTATATTGCTCGTTTTTATTTATTTTTTATTTTATTTTATTTATTTATTTATTTTTTTTTTTTTTGTTTCTTATATATATATATATATATGCAGATAGAACACGCGACATATTTCTGACATTTTCGTTCTATGCTCATCTATATTTCTAAATAAAAAATAGCGATTTGGCTTAAGCGACAAATACATCAGTTTGGTGTTGGATGTGAACATGGGCGATATAATATATATTCTCTCTCCTTAATTATATTTTTTTTCTTATATTCTCTAACACTCAATGGTTTTTGGGCATGACGATAAACTATTTCTGGCGGCAGGACTTCTGATCAGGAGGTTTTGAGGAGCGTGGAACTTCCTTTTAATTGCTGCTGTTCCCAGAATCACGCTGACCCGCAATGATAGCACCTGTTAGGGACCCTGCTATGGGCAAATAGTTAACCACCCAAATTGGGCTCATAACACTATAAAAGTATAAAAATCTAATTTTATAGTAAAAATACCAGCGATACATTTTTTGAAAAAAAAAAAAAAAAATTCCCAGAAATACGTTTTTGAAAAAAAAAAAAATGATGTGCAATATAGTTTTGGAAAAAAAAATAACATGCAATACATTTTTGAATCTTAATCAGCAAACTGATTTCTTACAAAGGATACATATTCTATACATACGAACCTGTTCTAAAAATCTTGTCTGCATTAAATAACCCATTTGACGTTGATATGCCATAAAAATAAATAAACCAAACAAGTCTAACACTCAATAACCCCCTCTTGAGTCATAGTGGCTTTATTGCCTTGCTTGGTTGAAATAATGAAAGAAAAAATATATATCAGAACAATGTTAAGGAAATGAATGACAAACTGGAAAAAAATTGCGGAAAGTGTTTCGATCCCTAAAAGGACTTTATCAGACTAAAGTAATGTTTTTATTGATGGATTTATATATGTGTAGGATGGTGGAGGTGGTTATAATTCTGTACCGACGCGAAACGCTGATGATGTTGCAACTGGAATTTAAAATTTTTAAATTTAAATTTTTATTTTCAAACCTCTTTGTACATGGGGTTTACCCGATTTCATTAAGTTTCCTGTCGGGTTTATTACAATCACTTACGGGCAAATACCCTTGGGTCCTATATCCTTGGTGGGAAACCAGTCTATTGCAAAAAAACAAATGGTAACCTACTACGGAAAAATCTTCTGTTTAGTCAGTCATGAATGGAAAGAGGCATGATCACCCAATCGTGCATCACGTACGGCACTTAATTGATTCCACATTTTTTATAATAGAAGAACTACTAAGAAAGGTGAAATATTATAAGAACTTGGATTTAAATCTACCGTAGAGGAATTAGCGATCAAAACACATTCTGTATACTTTCGCTTTCGTAAATAGCTTTCTCTTTTAATTAAAGCAGAATTTTTTTTAAATCGAAATAATTGTCAGATTCCTTACAGTGAGCGAATAATGCATTTAATATATTATTTTATAAAAGATCCCTTTTGTGTTCATTTTAGATTAAAAAAATTTTTTTCAATATTTCTTCTATGTATACTTTGTGACAATTAATGCAAATGATAGAGTAATTTTTTTCTTCAATTTTTAGCATAATTATTATATTGTTTTGTATTAATTAAGTCTGTTATTGTTTTCGAAGGAGTTGTTTGATTTTAGGTTAAACTTAGATAAATTCCTTTCAAGTGTAGTTGTTGCGCCTTCTTATATATATATATATATATATATAATCCATTTTTATGAAGTGATGGTGTTGAATCAACGCCATCACTTGATAAGACACCAGAAATGTTGAAACAAAATGGCTATTTTTGTAGTGATTGTATAAGATTTTTATGTTATAATTTTCGAATAAATGATTATATTCGCTCTACTCTGTATTGAGCACTGTTTTAAGAATAGTATTTGTTGGTTATTGGAATTTATTCCTCCGTATGCACTAATCCCATACTTGGGTATATATATATATATATATATATATATATATCATTAGGGAGAGGTTTTACGAAATAAATGTTTTAAAATGTGTACAATAGATAGTTTGAAATGCCAAGGTTTGCACAAATATTTTTTTACTACTTATTCCGTAAAAACTCTCCTACAATCATACTTAGTTAACTCCCCTTAAACGGTGTCAGCGATAACACACTCAACGTTGTTCACTCCACAAAAACTTTCAGATGAATACAACAATTTTGTCTTCGACAATGATGAACACGACAATATTTTTCTTCTAATAAACAATACCCTGATGATGACATTGTGCTATGTCGAAAGTACTCGGAATAAAAGAAATTTGTATCAACACGCCGATTTTCTCTCGTCCTTCAATAACAAATATATATATATATATTCTTCCTCTTGGAAATTTTTTTCTGAAAATATACATGTATAGGTATTTATATATTTTGCATACGTATGTACATTTTCCACTAATATTATGCATATCTATCTATCTATCTATCTATCTATCTATCTATATATATATATATATATATATATATATATATATATAGGTAAGATAAGAACGGATCAATTCCATTCTTTAAAAGAGGGTTCATTATTTTTATTTTAAGATATTACATTGAAAACCTGTCAAAATCATTTGATCAGATGCGTTGTACGCACATCAAAACATTGTTGCAATTGTGTAACGATTTTGACATGTTGTCGATGTAATATCATAAAATAAAGTATATATATATATATATATATATATATATATATATATATATATATATATATAAGTAAAAGTAGTTTACCTATATATATATATTCCGTATTTTCAGTTTTGATGGACACATATTTAATCTCCTGAACGCGAGACCCATACGATCACAAGGTTGTATGGCTTTCAGTGTTCGGTCTGCTATGCGTACTAACAGCGCATCTGATTCATCTCTGAATACTTGTTTTCATCGTGTGAATTAGCCAATAACTTCCAAGGAAGCAGTTGGAAAATGACGTGGTGTTCCTCTCAACCATACGGATATATATAATCTTTTTTGCTGTCTTTTCTCACTCTGCAGGATTGCATTGAAGAAGTTTCTCAGTAACCCACGAGAACGAAACAGTTATTATCAATCCTTGTCATCGAAGAGTAAAAAAAAAAGAAGCTCTTTTGCAGAAAGCAACCGGCGGAAGCGGAGGCGCTTTTCCTGTTCATTGGTTCGACTCGAAGTGATCTCTGAGATCGAAGATCTGTCAAGATTG